TTATTTAATAACATTAACCAGTTTACAGAATGTTAGATACTTTATATTAGTATCATTATATCTTATTTAATAACATTAACCAGTTTATCCGGTTTTTTTTTGTACTGGTTTAATTAAGACAGGAATAAAAAACAAATGGATCTTCTAGCAGTAATGTTAAATATTTTAAAGAAACATTATCAAACACGCTTAATAATTTTAGTCTTACATTTTTATCGTTTTGTATATAGCTAATGTTAAATTTCCACAAGCTATATATGATTTATGAGACACTGAAGTATGTATTTTAATATAAAACTTCAAGGAAAAATTTTTACTTTACTTCAGAAATATATTTCTTCTATAAGAATGTTTTGAAATCACTTGAGAAAAATGTAATCATTCAATGTTCGAATAGAGCATTTATTTTATTATGACAAACTTTACTTGAATTTTGTTTTGATTTTTAAACGGCTAACATACAAAGGTTGGACAAAAACAAAAAACAATCAAGAAGAATCTACTTAAAGATGTATCCATCCATTCTTTCCCAGATGTTAAATTAACTAGTTTCTTATTTCAATGACTTACTTAGATAGGCGATCTGTATTGTTATTTAAACAGACGCCATCTTTGTTTCACGTTAGATGTCAAGAAACGTGAGAAAGAAATGTGTTCCAACTGACTTCCAAAGAGGTCAGACCATAAAAGTTCGATTAATAAGTGCTTTAGTGTCCACAATTGCTAAATGTCTTGACTTTGCCAGAGGAAAAATATAAAAAGTTCTTACATCATAGCGATTGTCCCATAAGTTTCATCAGGTAACCGTAACAATGATTGGACGATCATCATGAGCGAGCATGATTGCCATGCTTTATGTCAAATTGTGTCCTCGAAGAATGAAGCCTAATTATTCAGTATACTTTTCAGGAAGTTGCGGATACACTTCTATATATAATAAAAACCAGTTTTAAACATCCAAAGGCGAAAGCACACTTTATTAAGCCACTTTCACCATATTTTCTTTTTTGTCCAACCACTGTAGTTTTTATAAAGGGGTCATATTATATTTTATGTTAATTAAACTTTTAATTTGAAAACTGCGAAAAAACAACAACAACAACTTTAAATACTATTTCTGGTGTTCTTACCTCCTCACGGATTTTCTTTATACTGTCACCTTTCTGTGGAGAGACTCAAAAGTAAATAAAAGTTTGTTTATTTAACAATAGCAGTTAGAAACAACAACAACAAAATAATTCGTCGTACACTCATACAACAAGAATGTTCCCGAGCACAAGCAAAAATAAGTAAGTTGTTTTTTTTTAAATAAAGCCCAAACATAAGCATTATATACTTGCAAATATAATTAGAATATGTATTTTAATCTGTCAAAAACGTCTTAAGTTTTAGTGTGATATCTGGTAAACTGCCTTTAATTAAACGGACCATTTGTATATTATGATTTGTTTTCTTCATGCATTACTTCAGTAACACATTTATCTAACGTCTTTTTAAAACGTCATCTAATGTTGCTTTAATAATGAACCCTTAAGTCTTAATTAAAAGAATCACAAAAAAATAAGAATAAAATAGAAAAAAATTCAGTAAAGTAGCTGAAAATCCCGTTTCATCGATTTCATTAAATTTCGACTTTTGAATCCCAGAATTGTATGTCTAATAATATAATGATATTTATAACAGATCCAATAGCATTTGTAAGCTTGTTATTTTCAAAACTCCCTCCCCCTACCTCGGTGGCTCAACGTAAGTCTGGGGGCTTATTATACTAAAAATCGGGTTTCGATATCCGCAGTAGGCACAGCACATAACTCATTGTGTAGCTTCGTGCTTAACTTCAAACAAAATGTTTATAATTATAGACGTCAAATACATAAAACAGAAAACCTGAAGTAACTGCTTTGCAAAAAAACGGATAATACTCGATAAAAATATTTAGGCTAGACCATGTATAATGATAATCATCAATGCATAAATATAAAGTAACTAGAATAACTCGTATGATAAGCAAT